TAAAACTTGTATGTTCTAAATTTCATGATGGATTGTAAACAACTAAACATGAAAGATAAAGATCAATCGGCTTTCCAAATTGAAGATCCACTGTCCACATGAAGATCAACCTGACTTTACAGACAAAAATTGACTTTAGAAATGAGTGTTTGCTCATCCCCAAAGTGTATATGCATCCTGAGTGTTTTCAATGGGATGATGAGAAAAAGAGCAGCACAAAACCACAGACACAAAAGGTCATTGTGATAACTTGATGCAAAGATGCCACAATTATGGAAATCAGAAGTCCCATCTGTTGGGCATATCAGACTATCCATCCCTGGGATGCATCTCAGGTTTATACAAGTTACATGTAACTCATATTTTTATGTGTAGTCTCATGATTGTCTCACTGTTGTCTCATGTCTCATGCAGGGACTGATACGGCTACACTCCCCTGCCAGGCCAAGAACGGCATGACTGGCCATACCTATCTTGGAAATATGGGAAACGGACAATCCCTCCTACAGGTGCAAGCCACGTGGGAAGTGAAGACTAGAAGCAAAGCGAGTGGCCTATCAACCAACTATAACCTTGGTTGGGCAAACCAAGAAGTTGGTTGAGGTGAACCACAAAATTGGTTCAAGCGAACCAAGATGACAGCTCGCTCCACGCGCTTTTCCATACAGCCTCTACCTCACCTTTGGGCAAGGTACAGGCAAGGATGGTGATGGGTTGATAAACCAATCACAAACATAATGTGATTTATGATCACAACTAGGAGATATTCAAATCATGTGTCCTATAAGTGAGCACTGAGAATGGATATCAACAATGAACAACTCGTTCCAATTGCAAGTACTAGCCAAGACAATTCATCATACAATGCCACAAATGCTGCACTTGGAATTGAGAAGCTAGGTGAAGAGGATCACAAACGCCTTGACCGTCGTGCCTTTGGGTACCATCATCCATTAGAGTTCCATTTCTCCTTCAAAAGAATCTCACCCATCATGGCTAACCAAAAAGTATTGCTCAGCAACCAAGATTTGATTGTTCATTGAAGAACAATCAGAAGACCATGTTTGGAATTGAGACTCTCATTTCTGTTTTGACTCTGATTACAGTCAAACCTCTGCAATCTGGTCCTCAAAAATCTGATAACCTCTGATATGCGGTCAAATTTTGGTCCACCAAGTTGGGTTTTTAGCAGCGAGTTCAACTCTAAAATCCAATAACCTCTGCTATCCGGTCCACAAGGCGTCCACCAAGCCCACCGGATTTCAGAGGTTTGACTGTACAACACTTTGGCACCGTTTTTCATTGAAAAAGCTCAACCACAAAGCTTGCCCCCCTGTAGCTCAACAAAATGTTTGTGACAAGGTTTTGTAAAACTACTGTATGTACGTATTACATACTGATAAAGTCATAAACTTAACAAAGTCCCGCGCTCGCGCATCCTCGCCAGGCGTCAAGCGAGGGACTTATGCCAAACTCGTACAAACTCATTGCTCAGGGTTTTGGATTTTGCAGGGAGCGTCCTTTGAACGCTTCTACCGTTTTCCACACCGAGGATTTGGATATGGTCCAAAATAAAAAGTTGTGCGCCTGACTCCGGCGCATAATGTACATATTTTTTCCCCGAGGAATGTACTCCCCTCCACCAAAAAATGACTGCAAAGTTTGGTGCTTGAGAGATACATGCAACATGTAGACCGCTGTGTAACTGCTCTGAATCCTTTATATCTATCTGAAACCTCAAACTTTGAAGAGCTTTCATTTGTGGAAGGGAGCACAATCCTTGGGGAAAAAAATGTACATTCACAGCCCCCAATCACAAGTCACTGGCAGGCCAGTGCCTCCCACCGACCCTAGCAAGTTATGAGAAAGCTATGAGAAAGTTATGAAATGGATATCAAATGGATAACATCCATCGATTGAGAATTTGTTGAGAAGTGGTTGGGAGACCACCAAAATTGAGATGATGTCATACAGCATCATAAACCTGTACAAGCCTGCTCCTGTATTTCCCCACCAAGAATATATAGTTTATCAACCTTTGTGACATAAATTGACTGAGTTATTGAGGTTTGAAAAAAAAATCACGGACAAAAAATACTATTTTTGTACTATACCTAAGAATTGATTCTGGAATATCTTCCAGCTTCATCAATATACATACACAAAAAAATTGATATTCCTTTTCAAAACATGTTCCTCCACATTTTTGTCCCCTAAAGCCTTCCTGTATGGGCAGTATTTCTACATGTAATTCCTGAATGTGTCTGCAAGTTTGATTTTCTGAAGTTCTTTGCCCCAAGAAAAAATTTGAGGGAACATATTGCCAAAATCATTCTGAATTTGATTGATGTACATGTAGATGGTATTTGACAAAAATTTCTGCCATAAACTTTGCCATATTCTGCCTAGAAACAAAGAATCAATCAAATTGTTGACTGCTCATGTACACACCACAATTACATATAGAAATACTGCCCATACAGGAAGGTTCTAGGGGACAAAAATGTGGAGAAACATGTTTTCAAAAGGAATATTAATTTTTTTGTGTATGTATATTGATGAAGCTGGAAGATATTCCAGAATCAATTCTTAGGTATAGTACAAAAATAGTATTTTTTGTCCGTGATTTTTTTTTCAAACCTCAATAACTCAGTCAATTTATGTCACAAAGGTTAATAAACTATATATTCTTGGTGGGGAAATACAGGAGCAGGTTTGTACAGCCCTTTGCAGAATTGATGACTTTGGAAAAAGAGAAAACGCTTGAGTTTTCAAAAAAAACCTGCGAGTTTTTTTCAAAAACTCATTGAGTTCTTCAAAAACTGAGCGAGCTCTTTCGCTTTTAGAATTACTGAGCCAGGTTTCCAAAAAAACTCACTGACTTTTTGAAAAACTCAGCAGCTTTTTGACAATACTTGGCCACTTTTCGAAAAAACTCGAGGTTTTTTTTTCTTCAAAGTCATCAATTATGCAAAGGGCTGTACATGTTTATGATGCTGTATGACATCATCTCAATTCTGGTGGTATGACATATTTTGCTGGTAACTGACCCAAAACATCTTGATAGCAGATGGATGTTATGCTGCAAACCAATTGAAGTTTTGTTGAAAACATTTTGGAGACATCGGATGTACCGGCCTGCCAGTGACCAGTAGTTGGGGGCTGTGATTATGTGCCGGAGTCAGGTGCACAACTTTTTATTTTGGACCATATCCGAATCCTCGGTGTGGAAAACGGTAGAAGCATTCGAAGGACGCTCCCTGCAAAATCCAAAACCCTGAGCAATGAGTTTGTACGAGTTTGGCATAAGTCCCTTGCTCGACTAGCTTAACACAAGCCCCACCGACCGCAGAGACGTCCCCCGGAGCCTGCAGAGGGGGGGCTTGCGACTTATCGGTGATTTTTGGCTTGATACCAAAGTCACTTTGGCGGGGGCTATCTCCAGCGTCCATTGTCGCCCGCTCAGACAGAATAAACCTGCCATGATACCTATATGAAATTTATAGAAGCATGTTTTTAGGACCTTTTGCTCTCCTCAGAATTTCTATAGCTGTCCCAGAAGCCGCGATATCATTAATTGAAAGAAAATCAAAAAATTCAAAATTTGGGAGAGACTGCTGCGATTACAGTCACTTTACATACAAGAGTCTTGATTTCTCTCCGCTAACACATAAGCTCTCTGCTATCCTTGTCACAGACAGAGAGTAAGCATCCGCAGTCCTCTGATTGTCGCTCAAAAACTTGTGACTCTTCACTGTCACCTCAAGCCAATGTCTTCTTATCAAGGCAAGTAAATATTGATGGGTATAATGTACAAGATTCCTCAGCAAAGGCCAGCGTATTCAGATTTTGGATCCAGCTGATGGTGGATGAGATAGCGTTGTTTTTGTCCGAAAATTGCTGGAAACCTCAAATTTGGATTTGGTATCACGCCAAAAAACGCCGATAAGTCGTAAGTCCCTCCTCCGCGAGCTCCCCTGGGACGCGCGCGCTTTGAGGAGGGACTTAGTTAAGTTAGCTCGCTCGACGCCTCGCGAGGATGCGCGAGCGCGGGACTTTGTTAAGTTTAATAAAGTCAGATAAAGTCGACAAGATAAGAATCAGATTCCACAATGATGTGACACTCACTCCGGTCTCCAGCGTGAGATTCCGCACTCGTACAGTGGGTAAACCCGAGTACGTGTTCCAAGCCAGTCCGCATAGAGGTTTGGGTCCGAAATTTTTGAGAAATTTTTGCCATTTTTTCTGCTTTTTTTGGCGGGAGAGTAAGGTTGAGGGGTGGTGTTAGGCTGCAAAACTTTTGGTTTTTTTTGAAAAAAAAGCAAATTTGGTTGTTATTTGCCACTTGAGCAGCCATATTCATTAAATTATAGGCCTAGTGCGCCGCTAAGTAGCTAGATAGGTACCTAATTGAGGCCTAGGTCCGAAAATCCAAACCTCTAAAAGAGTAAAATCATATTTTTGGTCTCCAAAACCATATTCCTAGATTCATCAAAGCAATGCCTTTTCAATGGTCTGGGTGCCAGTCTCAAACATTCAAATTGAGTGCCCCGACATTGACCCGAAAGGTGAAATTTGATTTTGCAGGGCAGGTTGGAACACGTACTCGGGTTTACCCACTGTATCAACTTGATCTTGATCATGTGACTACAACACCGGTGACTACAACACGGACATTCTTCTGCGCAGAAGTGTCTTTGCCTCCGGCCATTAAACAGTTCAAAGCTGTTAAAAGTTGCCATCTGTTTAAAATACTTAAAACTGAATAAAACCTACACACTAAAGATAAAATCGCCTGTCAGATGGTGTCATTCTTCTTGAGGAGAATCGAACCTCCGTGGGAGTTATTCAGGTGAGGAAGCTTTGACAAGACATGACTTTGACCCAGGAAGACTTCAAAAGAGTTTTCGAAATCCGGAGCTCTCGTGTATACTACTTACACACCTCCACACAACACGAACAACGAATCATATCATCTTCCTCAAAATCAGCCAGCTAAAATGCGATGCCCGGCCCCAGTAATCCCTGCTATTCCACAGGGACAGAGTCCTTTCCCTGTTTATCAGAAAATCCTCACCGATACTGTCTTCCCCGAAGTACCACATTGGACATTTTCGGCATTAATTTTTCTCGGATTCTGGAGAATTCTGATGATGTTCAGTTGTGTTATCATCATAATCTTGCCAATCTGGCGTGGAGAGGCTAGCCGACAGAAACACTTTTGGATCTTTAGAAGACGTTATCTCGACGGTGATCTATATTTCTCTCCTATCTTATCAACATCAACTAGAATCAAATGCCAGACTGAAGAATCACTCCTTTATTCACCTTTGCAGAATATAAGGTACCTTATATTGTACCCAATCGGCCTTTGGTTGTAGCAGTCTGTGAGTTCTGCTCTTCTGGTCTATATCTACTATTGGCGGCTTTCAATTACAAGGTAAGTTATGATATAAATGTCTTTGACTCTTTCATCGCAAAGCTACGAGGATGTCATCATCTATCCCATGATTTTTGTCTCTGATCTTGTTTCACCGCTTGATGTGCATAGGCATTTAGTACCCCCAACTTCACCCAGTCGATACATTTAACTATTTGGTAAGTCTTGTTTTCTTGGTTTCGATCTTTGTGCGCTGTATAGAGTTTCTCATGAGGCAAATTGAAAAAATAGGTACGGCATTGCGTAAGTATAGCTCAAACTATCTCCACATACGAATGAGCGATTTAGCTCTCAGCGACGTGAATTGTGCTGATAGGTGGTGAATCTGATCAAATATCATTAGATGGTTGCCGTGAGTATCGTTAAAGCTTTACAATTGCGATGGCTGTGTCTTGATCCAATATTTGCTTATCTTGATGCATTTCCAGTTCTTACATTGGTATCTGGCTTTCAGGCTGGAGTTTGTGTCACGCTTGGTGAGTGAAAGATATCAAGAACTTCGACCCAAACTCTCCTCGATATGTGGTACTGCAAACTGAATGACGCAAATGATCGGTGGATAGTCTATACAACTGCAAAAACTCTCGTCAGAGGGGGTACTGGCTATTCAGACCGTTCGCCTTCAATCTGATGTGGTCATCATGGTTGGTCGTCGTGGTTCTAACAAATGCAGCCTGTGCCACCCTACTTGATCGCGCTTGCACAGTGGCCTACTACCACTACAATCGCTTAATGGCCATCTTGCAAGCCGCATCTGAAGAATGGACGTCCACAAAGCCTTACGATCTTGAGACACTCAAGAATATATTGAAGGAAGAGAACGTTTTGCTCGATAGCTGTGGAACCGTGTCATCCCGGATGTCAACATGGTATGTGGCTTGGATCATCTTTGGCGTGCCTCTGGCCTTGGTATGTTGATTTATAGTCTAAAATCGTTTCGAGTGATCAGTTGTCGGTTGACCTGATCCAGTGATCTCAGTTTTACGTCTTTACAGCTCTATATCTGCTACGTCTCGTAGGGAACCTCCTCAAGAAATGTCAGACTGCAGCTTTGAGCTGTCGTCAAAATGTTGGGCCTGATCGACCAGGCAAAAGACGTATGTCAGCGATAAGAGAAAATAACACAAAGGCCATTCGCGAACTGGAGAAAGAATTTCGTGGGCTCCCCGTTTTTACGGTCATCAGATTCATCTAAATCCTTTCCTGACCTTTCATCGAGATGTTTATAGGCTTCTTAGTTGCCCATAGTAGCTTGATCGCACTCGTCCTACTATGCGAAGTGGCAGTACCCACTTTTCAACTCTTTGTGAGCTGGAACGTTGAATCGTAAGTTTAAGAATTGATACAAATGCGACTGGAGTGCGACATCGATATTGATATTTAAATCCTTCCTCACCAACCAAGATCGTTTTGGCGGACTGGTAGCGCCATCGTTGTAATGACACCCAGTACCTTTATCTCGCCCGCTCTATTATTCCAATCGGTGAGTATGATATATATTATCTGGATAAAGATGAGAACAAGATTAAAATGACCCTCAAATGACTACTCTTCTGAATCCCCATCATTAGTGGAGGCTTTTGACTGAGCGCAATACAGCCGATGAATCTGAATTTAATCAAGCGGCTTCGATGGCGAGCGACATTCAGTTGCCCATCTTTGCCTCTCGGCTTCTCAACACAGGCGAAAGCGTAGAAACGGATCCCACACCGGCGGACACCTTTTCAACCTTGCCCAATGCTAGAACAGAAAAAGCTGTCAAGGATCAAGTTAACATTACCCGATCTATCTCAGTTGTTCATTCAGGGATGAATTCGATTCAAAAGCAGAGCGATACCGACAAGAGTAGATCGAGCTTTGAGGAATTATTTCATGCCTTTTGAATATTGATACACTACGCCAAATTGAAAATTTACCGCTGAGTTTAGAAAATTGAGCAGACATAGACAATTGTGGAAAAGCTGGGAGGGGTCAGAAAAATATGAACAAATATTGGTTGGGCCTTTTGGTGCATTCCAATCATCTGGCATATTTTTTCATATTTTTACAACCACAATGCAAATAATGTCAGAAACCCAGATTTGGTCCAAAACTGGCAGGTAGAGAGACAGTGACCTTGCAACACCAACAAAATCATCAATTTTGCTCCAACACTTGTAGTGTCTTGACATTCTGAATGCCACATTCTGGCTCTACAGTTTTTGTGCACAAAAAAGTTGTGTGTCTCCAAGAATGGGTGAGATATATCAAGAGACGTACACAGCAGGAACCATATATAAGCATAGAAGTCATTACTACAATGGCTTCAGCACGTTAATAAACCTTGTAGAGCCATCATGCGACTTCCATAAATTGCAAGTGTTCAGATGATTGAACAAAAATACTCATATTTTTGTGCTTGAAGGTTTTTGCCCAAATATTGCTAGTTTTGGACCAAATTTGAGTTTCTGACATAATATCCCCTGTGAGCATTTTGGTTTGGGGAGACTTCAAACATCATGGCAAAAATATGCAAATATATGCAAAATGAGGGGACAGCACCCATGAATTGAATCATTATTTTTTCAAATTTTTCCGACCTCCCTTGTATTGGTGATACTTTTCTACAGTTTCAATTTTATAAACTCAGCGGTAAATTAGTGATCTGGCGTAGTGATACAATTTTCAAGTATGCACTTACATTTTTACTCTTGAGATTTTTAGCTCCATAAATGAAGTTTCGGTGAAATCCATAGGGGCAAAAGTCGAACTGATGTACATACTCAAGTTACAGATTGTGATGAGTTTCTATAAGTTTTCATGTTCATACGTTTTCTCTTCTATATTTTATTAATTGATATTTAATTCACTTGCATCAGGCTATGGAGTCTTTGTCATTCTTATATGTGTATATATATCAGTCCATTTACATTTTTATACCAAGCAAGAAATCATATCCCTCTGTTGTTTCAAACTTCAAGACATGAAGAATTCATTTCAAACATCTCGTAACTTGCATTCTGATTAGATTGCAGAAAGACCCTTTCAACAGCATGGAAGCTCAAGAAAAGCCTTACCCTATCAAAGATTGGTAATCCGTCAAAGACTGATCCAGTAATGTTATAAAGGGCGCAATTCAAATCTGAAAGCTTTTTTCTCTCAACCCAAACAAACCCAATGTAGGGCAAGAAAAAGCGCTCCGAAATTACAAGCGTGATATGTCGGAACGGAATAGTTAACAGTTTTAACCAGTTCTTGTATATAGTCCAGTCCGTGTGTTATACTGGAATATGGGAGATTCGAAAGCAAGTTCAAAAGATCAAAGTGTTATTACTTGATCACCAAAAAAACTTCCCTATATGTATCACATTCATATCATAAGCGCGTATAGGGTCATACAACTAAGGCCCCGTTTGGTATGGCTTACAAAAACTGGAAGAAATGTATTTTTTTTTGAAAATAATCTATTTTACACTTTTTCAAAAAAACTCGTTTGTTATCGCTTTTGCCCTCCATTGCCCCTCTTCTTGAAAGCCATTTTTCAGTCGATAATCTATTATTTTTGATCATTTTGAAAGCTTCTCCAGACCAGCTTTCAAGTCTCAATAATCCATTATCAACCCGGGAAAGCCTCAAAACTCGGGGCTCTGTCGCATCAAGATTCAAGACGACTTCCGATCAAAATCTTGACAACTGCAAACGATTCTTTTTCCATCACGCAAGAAACTTCAAATGTTCATGTTTATCAACTTTAGTCTGATTTGTATATCTTCAATTCTTGTAACGCGACTTCGATCTTTGCTAACGACTGTGATCCTTACAAGTTCAACTCTCATTTTGTAATAACTTGACCTTCACAATCATCAATTTGACTTTTGTCTTTCACTCAATTCCTGGTGATAGATAGAAACAACATCACCTGTTTCTTGGTGAACATATAGACTGAGGAGTTCAGACTTGGACCAAGTGATCATTTCACTACTGATTAACTCCATTAACCCATTAGTATTCTATCGAGTCATCAATGGATCAATAGCCAAGTTGTGTTGATCTCTAAACGACTTGACCCATCAAAAATCAAGATGATAGTAGATTTTGATTGATATGTAGTCAAGTTTGATGAAACACCAAACAAGAACAAACAACATCAATTGATTTTTGCTTTGAAAATTGAATTTCAGATTTGAAAATTGGCTTCATAAAATAATAGATTATGCAATGCATAATCTATTAATTTCTAATGTATTTATAAAAGCTAAAAGCTATACCAAACGGGGCCTAAAACTGAGGAGCGAAAAAACAATTAAATCTATTTCCTTTTTGCAAGAGCTTGAAGAGCCAAAGCTTCCAAGTCTAACTCTGGATCTGATTCAGGTAGATCATCATTCTGATCATCTTCCCTTCTAGATTTCTTAAATTGATGATATGTATTTGATTTCTCTTCTGATTCTGATTCTGATTGAAGATCAAATTCTGGAGAGATATAACCATCATCTTCGATTCCATCATCAACAAGTTCAGCAATCGGTCCATTATGTTCCTAAGAAAACCAAAATCACAATTTATAGATCAATAACCAAGGAACTCGAAAAAAAACTAAAATAGATCAAGTATATATAGAGATGGACTTACGATCTCTTGATTAGTTTTCCTTTTACGTTTCTTTTCAAGCTTTTTATCTTTTTCAACTAACCTATCTTTCTGATCGACTTCTTTAATCTTTTGACTTTCTCTATTCACGAACTGTTTAATCTCATCATTAACATTATGACTTTCAAGAAATTCTTCTTCTCCTAAAATCTTATATGCATCATGACCTTCACCTGTTTCATCAAATCTTATCTTTTTACCTAATCCTATACCTGACATTGCAATGGCTTTTTTAGATGTAGCTAGTTTAAGTTTTCGTTTAGATAAATATGCTGAATCTGGTATAGCTGCCTCTGCTTGATCTAATTCGTGATCTACTCGTTTAACTTTAATGAATTCATCATCATCATCTTCTTCAGATTGATCATTTTCTCGATCAATCACCTTGTTATAATGATGTGAAAGAATGTCTTGATTTTTTCGATTGAACATTCGATCATATTTAGTTCGAACTGCAGGTTTACTGGCTTCTGTCGTTTTAGACTCCTTCCGTGATACTGACTTTGATGACTCTTGATCACTGGAATCTGAACTTTCCTCCTCGTCACTAACATCTTCATCTTCAGAGGAACTACCACTATCTGATGTAGCTTCAAGTTCTTCATCACTGCCTTCCGAATCCGAAGAGCTATCATTTTTTACCTGAAGTTCCTTTTTAATGGCTTCAACAGTCCTAGGTGCATTCTTTTTCGCTTTGGCGCTCTCGCCCGTCCCACCTGCAAATCCACCATTCCCTTGTCCCGTAAGTTTAACTTGAGGAGCTCCAGGTAAACCTAATGATTCAGCAAAAGCAGTTAAATCGAGTTGATCTAATTTGAAAATCTTTTTATTCCTTTGTAAATAAATCGATCTAACATATGAAATAAATGCTCTTTGTCCTAAAAATTTAATATCTGGAAATTTAAACATTTGAGCTTGAAGTTTATGTTGTATAGTTTGTTTTCTAGAATCATTCGGTTTCACTTTCTTCACTTCGATTCCTCTTTCTTCCCATTTACTTACCATGCCTTCTTCTTCTGATGGTAATAAAAATATCAATGCTTTCCCTCCACTTTGATATCTTGCTGTTCTACCTACTCTATGTACATATGTATCTAAATCTTCTGGACAATCTGCTTGAACTACCCAATCGATCGATGGAAAATCTAAGCCTCTTGCTGCAATATCGGTAGCAAAAAGACATGCTTCTGGTGAACTTGAAAATCTTTCGTATATCTCTAATCGTTTGGTTTGCTTTTGTTTTCCATGGAGGTGTAATAGTGGCATTCCAGGACGCATGTGTCTAAAGGTTTCGTAAACAAATCGTACCTGTAGTGAATGGGCAAGAACACGCCGATGATTTATTATGTGTGTCTATGTGCAGGAAAAAAGAGATTATCTCAAACCGACCTGTTTACAGCTACTTAGGAATACAATCATTTTGTTCTTTAAATGTGTTTTCAAGAATGTCCAAAGATAATCCATTTTAGACTGAAGATCGATGACCATATAGCTTTGATGTAGCTCTTTAGGTGTTGTCAGATCTCTATCAACCCCTGTCTCACGAGCCGCTACGTACTCCGGGTCCTCGCTTAAAGATAGTCGAGCAAGGTCTTTGACCGATTTGGTTTGTGTGGCAGAAAACAATAAGGTTTGACGTGAAGCTGGTAAACTAGAGATGATTGCGTTGATCGAGTTTGAGAATCCCATATCAAGAATTCGATCTGCTTCATCCAACACTGATGTACAAATCATAAGAAATAAATTAGCATCCGAAATGAGTGATTATAGAACTGTCAAAGAAGATGATCAGGTTAACTAACCTAAGACTTGTAAATTATCACAATCAAATCCAGTAGTTTGTTCTAAATGTTGTTGTAATCTACCAGGCGTAGCAATCAAAATATTCATTTTACTTAATCTTTCTCTTTCATCTTCTAAACTTTTTCCACCAATAACTAAACCAGCACTAAATGAATGAAATTTTCCAATACTTCTTAAAACTTCAAAAATTTGAACTGCTAATTCTCTTGTGGGACTAATAACTAATGCACCTAAACCATCCATATGACCCCATTTTGATCGGTATAACATTTCCAAGACTGGTATTAAAAATGCCAAAGTTTTTCCTGATCCAGTACGTGCTGCTCCCAGTACATCTTTACCCATCAAAGCTCTAGGAAGTGATAAAGCTTGTATAGGTGTTAGTTTTGTATATTTGGCTGCTTGAAGACCTTTAAGTGTAGCGGCTGATATAGGTATATCGGTAAACAAAGCGGGAGGTGTATTCAAATCCTAAAGAAAAAGAAAATCAATCTCAACATTACTTTCTGATCTATTAATGACTGAATGGTTCAAAAAGAAAAAGATAAGAAAGAAAGAAAAAAGCCGCTAACAAATGAAAGGCTGTCAGATGCTAACTTTTTGAGCTCCTGTTCTTCTCTTTGTCTTTTATCCGCTTTGAATCCATTTCGAGGTGTTTTCTTTTTGTTAGTCTTTGAAGCTTTTGGTTTCATTTCGTCAAGTTGATTAGTTGAGAATCACTTTCAGGTTGCAGGAAGAGTGAGTTGGCCAGTGGAATTTGAGAAAATCAAAAAATTGTAGTCAATCTGTACTGTGTCTGTAAATCATAAATCATGTGACTTCAACATGTGACATGTCAGCTATGCGACAACCACGGGCTAGCCTTTTGTCAGCTTCTGACAGAGCTCGGGTCAGCTTACACGCTGATGTCACTCATCCGTGACATAGAACAAGCTGTAACATCTCTAGAATCCTGTCACCTGTCTTTTCCAGATGTGATTCTATTTGAGTTCCAGATTGATTTGATGATGTAATCCAATTCAACCTTTCAAAATTTCAAATTCTTCACTGATGTCAGCTATCAAATTCTCAATCGGAACTACAACTACAAAGTCCAACTCTGGTACATCCAACAAACGACCAACAACCAATAAAGTATTTGAAGAAGATGAAGAAGAAGATGAGCTTACTTTAAAGATTGGATCTAATACTAATAGCGGTACCAAGAAGGCTTCTTCTTCTCGATCTGGAAATCCTTCACTTCTTTTACCTCCTACCAATAGTAAACTTTCACGTCAACAAAAACTTAAACAAGATGAAGCTGCTAAACTGGATGCTACTGTATTCGAATATGATGAAGTTTATGATGATATGAAATCAGCAGAAAAACAATCTAAATTGGCCAAGGAGCAATCAGGAGTACAACGAAAGGTCAGTTGAAATCTTCAAATAAAATAAAATAACTTTTGTTCTTTGCTTATTGTTCGTCTTTACCTTTTAGCCTCAATACATCTCAGGTTTAATTGAAACAGCAAAACAACGTCAAATCGATCGAGTTCGTGCAGAAGATAAAATGGTACAAAGAGAGCGAGAATTAGAAGGAGCCGAATTTGCAGATAAAGATGCATTTGTAACCCCAGCTTATTTAGAACAACAAGCCGAATTACGTAAAGCAGAAGAAGAAGAAAAATTAAAAGCTGAAAAAGGTCCAACATCTAAAGGAATGAGTTCATTTTATAAAAACATCTTAGATGAAGATTCAAAAAGGAATGAAGCAGCTGTTAAAGCGGTGGCTGCTGCTGCTAAAAGGTCGGGTGGTACTTCACTTAATCTTGCTTCTACTTTATCTTCGGCTTTACCTGCAAGTTCTGTTTCTCAACAACCACAATATGATCCAGAACCAGAAGAGGTACCGAGTGAGGCTAAGTTGGCAGCAGAAGTGGGAAGGAAGTTGGGTAGGAAAGTCGATTTGGATGATGAAGGTCGGATCATTGATCATCGTCAATTACTCACCGGAGGACTCAACGTAGGTCAACCCAAGCTAGGACCCAAAAAGCCAACGAAATCAGGATTCGCATTACCTATAGCCGAACGAGCCCGACAGGAAAGAGAAAAAGCAGAAGCAGAAGCAGCTCTGGTAAAAAAACAAGAAGAAGAGGAAGAAGGCATCTCACAAGCCGAAAAATTAAAACTTTCAAGAGAACGACAATCATTATTACTTCAACAACAATTAATTGAACTCGAAAGTAATAAACGAAAAGCAGAAGAAGATCAAATGAAGGATCAGATTAAAAAGGTAGCTAGAAGAAATGATGAAAGTAAAGTTGAAGAACTTAAACGTAAAGCTCAAGAAAGAAGAAAGGCACGTGAGAAAGTGTTAATTCCAACTGAGACAAGTACAAAAGAAACCATCTAATGTACTATGTACATTGATCAGGGAAAAAAAGTTTGAGTTTGATTTACATTGTATTGTTTATTTCAATTCTAAAATCTCTTTAACTATCTTTGCAATCTCTTTTCCATCTGCCCTTTCCCCTGTGATATCTTTTACAGCTTTAACTACTCTTCCTAATGCTTTAGTTCGATCTTCAACGGGTATCTGAAGTTGATCTACCACCTCTTTAACTGTTACAATCAATTCTTCTGAACTCATATCTGCTAATTCAGTGGGTATAAATTTTTGTAATATGATGGCCTCGGATGTGTATAATTCTTCCATTTCTAGTCTAGGAGGGTTTGCTTCTTTAGATGCTTTTGCTGCTTCGAATCTTTTGGTGATGGCCATTTTGAGTGTCTTGATTGGGGAAGGAGCATTGGCTAGATGTTGTGAGGTTTGAATATCACCAATAACAGACTATCCATGCAACTCATGAACATATCAGTCGATGTGATAAAATTGAAGATAAGATAAAATTTACAGACCTTTAGCACATCTCGTTGAACCAAGTTACGATCCTTCATAGCCTGTTTAAGAGCATTTCGTAGTTCTGGGAGTAAACCCGTATCCGTTGAAATTGATCGGATCAGTCGAGGAAGGCTCTGGGAATCTTGAATAAAAAGTCGTCCATTGAAAGAATTGAGATGGTTTGGTTGAGATGATCGAAGAACTCGATTGATTGTGATCCTGATCATTTTAAGTGTCGTTTGCAGTTAAAGTCAACTTCCGAACTTTCTCGATGAGATTTATGATTTAGCCCCGAGTCTGGCCCCGAGTCACATGCTCGGAATTTGCAACACCACAAGCTGGAATGATGAACTTGTGTGTTGAAAGCTCTTATCTGTCACAAAAAGCTTGCTTTCGTTCCAACTTTCTTGAAAACCTAGTTTCAAAATGCAATTTTTGCATGGGAAATGAATGTAGACAAGGCCTGGGGTCCATTTCTGTTTCTGTAAAAGGAATGACACTCAAAGTTTTAGCTCTTCTTGATGTGGTACATATTTGATCATTATAGAACCTCTGGTATCAACATCACCAAGCCTCTTGCAGCCAACACGTCATGGATCAAACCAAGCATGCTGGTAGTGTTTTTTATCAAACTTGACAATTCAGAAGAAGTATGAAATTACAGCTCATGAGATGAACTTGAATGGAGATATACCAAGAAGAAGTAGCTTCTGAAAATGGATTGTGATTTTTTTTTGTATAAACGCACATCTTTCTACTTTTTAATCAAAAAGGAATCCCAAACCAAACCAAATCACAGATGTTGAGAAATGCACAAAATTAAAATTGGTAAGTTTCTTCGTATGTATGGACATGTTTGAGATTGATTTTGCAAGGAAAACTTGAATTTGAATGAGAATGAAATTCTAAAAGAAGTAATTTCTGGAAATGAATTTCAATTGATGTCTTTGGATAAACAGTAACTCACATTTTTCTATATTTTCATTGAACCCCACAAATCACAGCGGTTGAGAATTGTATGGAAATTCAAGACCTACTTGTAAGTTATGACACTCAGACACCTATATTATTATGGGTGTGATGATCAATATATGCATATCCCTTTGTTCTCTCTTCCATTGCTAAAGCTTTCGATGTACGGAGCTGGCTTATCTTTTCTTGTGATGTCATATATTTTCCGGAGTGGAGCATGGTTTACAAACTCAATGTGACATCAAATAAGATGATTCTGTATCAAATTCATCCTTCAAGCAGTTTGTTTGTTAATTCGTGTCCAGGACTTGACCAGAGCCACACATTGAAAAAACATAGCTCAAGGTGAAATAAGTTGAGAATCTGATAATTGGAATGGGTTTCCAATTTTTGAAAGTCGATCCTTGAACGAACAGCTCACCAGTGCACATGAAAACCGTGCTTTGAATTCAACGCTGAAGTGTAGTGCATTCAGTTTGTTTTCGGTGATTGCATGTACCAAAGCCTTGTAAGTTGCCAGCCAAAGTTGCATGAATTGCCCCTAATTGCCCTAATACTCACGATGAGGACTGAATGGAAGCGAAACGTTCGTCTTTTGCTCATCAAACTCAAGTGAAGCGTTGGCCATTCAATAATAGTAACATCGTTGTTTGGAGCCGAGGATATCTATTACTTACCACACATCATTTCTTTCAAGCACGCTCCAAAACTGACGAAGCAATTAAAAGTATCAACACTATGGCAGTCAAGCTTTGATTCCTTTGATACTCTTTGCAGCAGTCAATCATGTTTCGAAACGTCATGACGACCATTGGTATATCTCGAGGAAACATCTCCAACAATATGTCCCTTTGTGATAGAATTGAAGAACTCCACCTGGATGGATTTTATAAATTTCATATTTCTTGATACAATATATGCATAATCTAATTGGTAATGTTGATGATTACCATCATTCACTATGGCGAAATTATACTGTATCGTAAACCCTTTACAGGCTGACCATGAACGTTTTCAAAGAAAAGCCCTGCGCGTGTAAAATTCAGGGGCCACTAACGTACACTGGAATCATTCTATATCACCATTACATAGTTCAGGTTGATCAGATGATTCAAAACTGGTCATATATCAATACTAATAGCGTGATCAATATCAAGCAATTACCAAGATATACTGGCAGCGGGGTAGTATAAATGATATCACTATTACATAGTTCGGGTTGGTTATCTCATGTAAAACTTGTAAGATATCAACAGTGTGATCAATACCAAGTACACACCCCGAAAAATTACTGCAGCTCACTTTCTTTCTATATACATACAACACAGTTTGTTAATATATCTTGGTTTCAAGTCACCAGGGGGTGTCAGACTCGGACGTTTTACGGTAAAACAGGACGCTGGAATACGCCTACAGAGGTTACTTAACAAATATTTGACCTTTATGGGGTAAGTTTTCTCAAAAGTCTTGGAATCTGATCTTTTTTGTCAGTACCCTTTGGGTATATTGTATTTTGGTGGGGATCAAAAGGGGTCACAAAGGCCCCCTGAGACTGTTCTTCATTTTAACAACAAGTTTGTTTGACCATAAACATCGAGAAGGATTTATAATGGTCATGGAGTGACTGATGTGTAGTGACAAGTGTCCAGCTTAGGCAATGGGCAGGATTGGATGACATCCCTTTGAGATGTGCTACCTGAACTCTCCTTCAGTTTCCACTATGTCATCATCTCAGTGGTTGATTTTGATTCCATTTCTAAACACTTGGGCTAGATTGTTAAATCATTCTGGCACAGAATCTACCTTTCTTTTTATCATTTTTGAGGATAGATCATGAGATCAGACAACAATGATTCAAAGAAATCAAACAACAGGGCCACCAGTCAACTCTCCAAAGAGGGATTGGAAGCATGGGGACATAAAACCTGTAGACTAAAGATGTGTTTAAAGGTTTACTATTCAAGTACTAAATAGCTTTCAGCTTTTTGGATTCAAGTTCCTTGTGTTTGCTTTGGAGTGAAAAGATCAACACATGAATCTAAAGTTGAAAAAACACTTAGTTTGAATAATCAAATTAATCACATTCAAAATGTGTGCAGGATTTCTGAGCATCAAGACAGCAGCCAGTCTTCATAAACATGTTAGAGCCTCAAGAGCCAACCTTTTTGGTGAGTACCCTTTGGGGAAATTCCCAGAATCCAACCTTTTTGATCAGTACCCTCTGTAGAGGCATTCCTGGGACCTGGTAACACTTGTAAAAACCTCCACGCTGGAGCATAAGTTGACGTAAAATTTGCAAAAAGGAAAAGCTTTCATGTATCCTGTTTGCATAAAACATAAACAGCTAAGTTTACAACACACAATCCAAGACCTTGCCTTGCCTGTTTCACGCTCTGAACCAGATTATCCTGATAGTGGACGAAAGGGCACACTTCCCTCAACACTGGGTGGAGAATCAAGGCAAAAGAGTATAGAAAATCTTGATCATGGTTTACCAGTGATGATGTGACCATGTTTAACTACAAAAAAACTTTCCCATGTTGTAGTGTTTTTGTTGTTGAAATTTTAATTTGACAACCTAATATATTGTTGAATTTGATGTTTTTACTTACTTACCATCTCTATAACTGCTTGTTCCTTTGTATGCAGAGAGATGTAGATCATCAAAACCAATATCTGCTTGAATGAAAAATCTGATCCACTCAAGATCATTCTGTGATGACCATCATTGTAGAAATTTGTTGCTCTGTGTTGTACCTACAAAGACGTAAGGACTCACAGGCGGATGGCAACCAGGAAGATGTATGTCCAATGGAAACTTAGGTAAAGAGCATCACAAAGGTGTGTTTCTGTTCAGCTTCATGATTCTTTAATTGTACCGCTCACACTTGCTTTTTTTGACATCAGAAAGAAACAAAAAACGGAAGGGTTGGAAAGTTTGGGCAATTGTTGATGAGAAAGAGTTTGAGGCCAAAGATCTGGAAGAGCCTGTAAACCGTGGCAGTCAATGGCAAGAGTCAAAGGCAGATGGCAATGTGCGGAAGTCAAAGCGTAAGAAGGAGAAGATGTAGTCTACCTCCTTCTTGCTTTGTGTACTTGAGTACTTTTTCCCTTTTTACTTATTTCTTTCCACTTTCGCTACGTTCTTTACCATTCATCTTGGTCTTCACACTTTTTTTTGTCTGCACATTTGTTTCATTTCTCAACATTTGTTTGCTTTTGATTGATATAATTGTTGTGATTCTTGATTGGAACTGATCTTCGAACTGAGCTAAAAAAGGTCAGTTCAAACTGAACTCGAGAGGAAGTAGTGAATATCCTTTGTGATTGTGGTGAAAGCATGTCTGTGAAATTCAACATATTGCTTCCTGAAATCGACTTTCCCAAACGTCATTTTTCACGATTTATTACGATCGTGAACGGAAGGTCGTAAAATTAACAAATCGGATGCTTTATGCATTTTTACATGCTTTGCTTTTCACGACACATATACGTCGGGTGAAAGTATTCGGAAAACTCGACATTTTGGACACCCAAGATCCAATTACACATACAATATTTTGAGCCACTTATTTTGACGAAAATCTCAAAAAATTGAAAGTCTGTCAAATTGCACTTTGCTCGGGCAAAGGTGCATTTTTCCAGACATCCCTTTGTCCAGACATTGTCGCTCGGAAAATAATGTTCGGAAAATTGTCACGCCCCATAGGGTATATGTACGTAGATGACGAGGTAACGGCAAGCTCGCCGAGCGGTACCTTGTTGAGTTAGCACGGCAAGGGAAGTTGTCATTTACTGAGTCAACGATGGTGAGGTTGAGTGTGATTCAACCCCGGAATTTGGCATCTTCACACCGAATTGTGATCATGATGGAATTATGACGCAACCCAAATAAGTATACTACAAGCTGCAGTAGATCCAAGTCAATCATCAAGAGTCAAGACTAAAAAGGCAATCCAATCACACGTTCGACTGTGCCCAGCGCTTTGAATCCACGTGTGGAGGTTGAGTGGTATACCATAGAAGTTCGAGACTTCTAAATAATTAATTCGTAGATCTCAAATCAGCTGTTGAACAACAAAGCCTGTCATCAGATGATGACTTAAAACGCATACACTAGATTTTGTTTATTTTGACAACGGGGAATTTTGTCTGTGGCTGTAATTGTAGTTGAGGAAATCAATTGTATGCGCACCCTTTTCTTTAAACTCAACAAAGTCCCACGCTGCGTCTCGCGCGCTTCGAGCGCAGCGAGGGACTTATGACAAACTCGTAACTTTTTGCCTGTGAGGGGAACCAACTTTTGCAGGAGCAATTTGCCCTCCTTATAAAACTTTTCCCCCTATTTGTGAAAAATCGAGATGCAAAGAAATAAAATGTTCGCCTCTCTGAGGCGCATCGATTTATCAAGAAAAATACCGAGGAATCCGAGGAATTCCTCCTCTACTGGCTTCTGAAGTTTGAAGTCTTTGATGAAATTGCCTCGTATCCGTATGTATAAACCACGCTCGATGGTCAAATACAGGTCAAAACACTATCCATGCGATCGTCGATGACCTCAATCTTTGATTCTAAGTTTTCAACATTTCAATAGAAGAATTGGGATATCACTGCTTAGATGATGTATTTGTTTGTTATTCGTAAACTGGATTGGGTTTTTGGAAACAGGGCTCCTGATTACGAATGAGAGCTTATCCCCAAAAAGCTTCTTGGCTGCGAGAAAAGGCAAGGTGGAGACAAAGCAGGACAAAAATCGAGAGATTTTATGTACATACTTACACCAACTTTGCTTCCTCCCTTATATATCGAGTCTCGACTGTCACGGAATTAAAAAAGGCCGATACAAATCCTTATATCCAACTCATCCATCGACCTTTTTCCATTTTTTTTTGATCGTCTCTCTAATTCGTTTGATCTTGCTTGCCACATCACATAAATACGATCAATATCTTACAGTAAGGTTCGTAAATGACTAGCATTCATTCTATATATGGTACAGTTTCATGAATTCGAATAAATTCGCTGAATCACATTTCTTCCGATTTACCTTTTCATCCAATTCACGATCGGCGCTTACTATGATTCAATTCACATCTGCTTCATTAGCCATCGGTGATCAAGATTGTGAAGTGGCATAACTCATCATTCAAGTTTCTTGACCTTCAAAGTGATCATCGACCTTCAATCCGGGAAACATTTCCGGGCCTTAACCATAACTCCTTTCGTGGACTCGTGACGTAGATGACCTTTTAAAATCAAGAACCTACTGTCCCTTCGATCAGTTGAAGCAAATCAGTCGATCCTATCAAATTCACCGCCTACATCCTAACCTCGCCTCTCTCGTCGGACCTCGGGTGAAGGTAAGCGTCAGTGTCAGTGTCCTTGTCCCCATCTTTTTTGAAAAGATTTTACTACACACTCGGACCATATATCCATGCCAAAGCGATGCCTCGCAAGATCTTCATTGGCTGCGCGTTTCAATCTACCGGCAACTGGACTTCCAGGAGCATATATATATATATATATATGATACTGTTCCGGTCCTTCCTCTTGCTATTCCTACTCTTAGGCGAGGTCTATGGTCAAGACGTGCCGCACCATATCGATTGAAATGACTGTGCTGGACAGCATATTCGTAATTCAAAAGGCTGAAATAAATCCCGAGCTCGGTATCAGGAATCAAGACTACCAGCAATACAATCCTCAAATCTTGCTACTTAATAGGTTCCCAACGCGTCTCACACACTACCCCTTATATTTTTTTGGGAAGCTGAGACTTGACCACACCGATGACTGCATCTGTAAGGACAGAAATTGCATAGAGTCATTTCTTTTCAAAACCAATTCTTTAGTACATACATATTCATCCATTCCGTCTCTGTCCGTCCACTGCGCGTCTCGCTATCCCGTGGATCGTCTTGTCTCGATAGTTCTATGCTCTTTGTGTTCAAACTTCAGAGGCTTCCTCATACTTGATCCACAACAGTGACACCTAGATCGGCGTGTTCAATCCATGAGACATGGGCGTTCCGATTTGACCTCTGTACGTCATATTATGGTCACACCAATGAGTTTTGAGTATTCGTTCTGCGAGCGGTCAGAACCCTGCGCATAGCTGTGATTTACGCTCGTCTCGGTTTTCTTGTAGTTATCTCTTCCTCTTCTTGATTTCAACCATTTCCTTTGACTAGAGCTCATCCGATCGTTAGTGTACACTACATATGCACCACATATAACTGTACTTCACTCACAATCACCTTTAAGCTTACCAGAATTCGGTGCTTCTCTTTGTTGGCTTCATTCCCAGATCATTGCCGTCTCACCCTACACGAAACCCAGTACCCATTTCAAGGTTAATCGGGATTCCTTTAAAGTTCTTCGCTCTCGGCTGCCTTGAGCTTAAAACGTCGGTTCATTTTTTTCGGATCTGCTCTGAATTGCCATTCCTACGAGTCTCACGGGATTTGCCCTCAAGTGTACATCCTTTGACTCGTTTGATCACTGTGAAAGCTTCTAAGCCTCATCAGGTGTTTGATCGTGCTGTATATTGCAGGGGGTACAAGTTCTCCCCTCGATTTCCTTTTCCGACCTTGCTCAAGCTTGGGTGCTAGCCTCTCGCCATCATCTCAAGTTTTGTTTCCTCCTGCTACTCATCCGCTTTCATCTCTGAAGGTGGCTCATATTATATATATTCTCAATTATCTAACTCTGCACTACACCCCCATATCGAATAGTGTTGGTTTACGAACTCTCCTGGATTGCTTTTGCCCCCCTTTGCACGCAGTTATTGTCCAACTTGACAAAGTAACTTTGGCTTCAGAATCGGTCGAACACTACTGATACAATCAAGAATCCACCGTTCGACTTTCAGTTTGGAGAAATCATACTGCGTACTGCTTCCGATTCATTCCTTGCCCTCAAACTACTCAGCTCCAGTCCACCGGTGCGACACCAATTATCAAACATTGTCCTCGCCTTGTTATCTACGACCCACTTTTTACAAGAACTCAGACTCCTCGGATTTCCATAAACTCTGAATGAGTAGTCACCCTGGCCAGGGTCACGATTATTGCTTGTCTTCAGTTCCGCTGCCGATCCCAACCAAATCATCGGCTAATCTACAAGCTTGGCGCAGTGGAATGGGAAGCGGACGATTCACTGTCGATGGTGGGGGTGGATCCAATCTTGAGTCCGCACTCCCTTCCTCGCAACGCTCTGGAGGATCTTCGACAAATCCTTCCAATTATCCCATAGATATACCAGGCCACCTATCCTCTTTCAACTCGATGCCTCACCAGCATTTACCAATCTCTTCTGATCAGCCAACCAACATGGCTTACCAATTCGAAGGGCCAAGCAGTGTGCCTGCCAACTTTGGTTGGGCCGGACACCAAGACGGTCTGAACTTTGCGTCAGTGCCGTCGTCGCCGGACATTGGCTTTGGAATTCCTAACTTCAGAGAACATCAAGCTCAGTATCAGGTGGGTCTCAAGATGACCAGACCCAGCTGATATGCCCACCTTTGGAACTAACATCGTGTCTTGAACATCTTCAGCTTCGCTCTGATACTATCCAGAATGAGCATGACGGAAATGTAAGCTTGAACAATCTGCTATCTGACTTTGTCAATCTTCAGTTTTGGCAGACAGCTGACCGGTTTGTTCTGTCATTCCGTCATACCCAATGTTTTTGAAAGACTCGCCACCGGAGCCTGCTTACGTCTCGTAAGCCGAGTGACGAGCAGTCAGATTCTCGAATCAACCTCGAACATTACCACCCGCCATCCATCAATATGATTCACTCAATGACCACTGCGAATTCTCCCCTAGTGGGTTCGGCTCCCACTGGGAGTCACATTCATGCCCGGGCGATGCGTAATTCGACTCTGGAAGAGTCTTGGGACTCCAGAAGTTGTTCGCTAGCTACCGGGAATGCAAGCTCTTCTGAAGACACACGTCCAATGACGATTGGATCTTCCCTAATGGCACCTCCTCATCGTTCTGAAACGCGGCCACGAAATGGTAGCTCCATCACAATCGACACCGTGGGTCCCAAATCCGATGGGGAGCGCGGTGCAAATCACTCCACCCCCTCAATGTCAACATATACTCAAGTGGCAAATTCCTGCACAGAAGGAAGAATCCCAATCAGGTCGCAAAAGTTGAATGTCAACCCATTGCTTCCACCACTCCAGCAGGTTCATCATTCGAATGGAGCCAGCATCAGACATCATCACACTTCCGCCGTCAGTTCAGCACGCCCTTTACCAAACAGAATGACCTCGATTGGGTCTAACGTGTCGACCGCTGATAATCAACATGCCAAATTGAGCTGGTATCCCCTTTCAGACCATGGTCCATCCCCTTCTCCTCAAAGCTCTACCGGGTCATCATTTTCCACATGTGCCTCGCCGTCCTCTCCTTACTCGTCTTCCTGGTTGGGTATGAGAGACTCGCGTAACGGCAGTTTTAGTTCGCACATGTCGTCCAGATTACCAATTGGTGTAGACAGTTGGCATATAGATCTACTCTCCGAAAGCCCGACCAGCTCATCTATGACCGAAACCGCATACACTCCCGATCTCTGGAAGATGTGTGAACTTGCCCAACAGGCTTCGGCGAGTACAGGGGATACCCTGGATCAAATGATTCAGAGGATGCGCGAGATGGGATTAGATGAAGACGAAATCAGAATGCGTTTGGGCGGCAATTGGAATGTGAAGGACCCTGAGGATGAAGAGGATGGTCACTCAGACCACACAGCAAACGATGGAACTGAGCCGGCTATCTCAGGGACAACCAGCCAACGTCAAGACAAGAAAGCCGAGAAAGGCGCGAGCGGACGAAAGATTGAAAATGACACATCTACTAACTCCTCCACAGATCCAATGGGTTGCCCACTCACTGGCACAACAGACGAACGTAAATCCCTTTCATCAAAGACGTCTTCATCCGCGAGAGAGCCTAGTATTGAACGTGGCCGAAGAACACGCAATACCAACCGGACGGTGTCCTACTTAGACTCTGCACTACAGGGTGACTCTGACGTTCCAGTTGAGATGTAAGTTGTGCGACCAACCCTGAGTATCGGATTGTACATTAACGTCAATTCCTCATGAACCATGATTCTTTAGGGAATGGAGAGCACATAGCCGTTCAAGATCTCGCCCGCCAGAGACAACAAATATGGATTGGCGACAAGCCTCAAGATCACGCAGCAGGCGCCCAGCTCAATTCTTTGATGTTTCTCAACCTACACACGAAAATGAGACGATCAGGAGTGGATTTTTCAACGCGCATCTATACAAGCATGGAAAGGCTTCGTCTTTGGAAGGCGTTCGCGAAACCTCACCAGCTGGTAGTTCTCTGAATTCGTCAAATGACTTCTATACGCTTTTCACAGATTGCGATTCGTCTCCCTCTATGCTTGGTTCAGTAGAAGCTAGAAGCCAACAAGTATCGGAGCACGATGCTCCAGAAATCAACCAGAGTAGTTACCACTATCCTCAGGATCTCCTCGACAAGTTGGTAGATCAGGTCCACCATGCTAATGATTCTTTGGTTGGCTCGAGTGGATTTGACTTTCCAAACGGATCGGGTCCGATGATTCCTCATCAACATCGAATCTCACAACTTGATTCTGGCATAATCGGACTTCCCACTACACCATCATATAGTACATTGCTTGGTTCAATCCCAGGGCTCACAGAAGATTTTGCTGAGGTAGCCAATGCACATGCCGAGTATGGTTCGATTCCGCGACTGGTACGAAAGACCAGTTTCGATGAGACCTTGATTCAACATCGCGCCCTATCCAAGCTCAAGCGACAATCTTATCTTGGTCCTCGAGGTACTCATGAACATCAAGGTGGCGCTACTCGTGGCCTTGATGTAGGTGGCTCAGCCATACCTGATCTGAGTACCCCACACCCAAGGCCCAACACAACCACCGATGGGAGTCGTCGTCATCATCACATGGTCTTGCCTCCTCAGGATACGAGCCGTCAAGATAGCCCAGGCTACGTGAGTCTTTCTGAATCATCGCTGACTATTGTTTTTTCACTCCTGAAACTTACAATGATGTTATCATGGATGCAGACGACTGAGAATGCATTGGCTTCAGACTTCAATCCGGGTCCGAATTCGATCTCAAACAATTTGGAAGAGTATCTATGTCATTTGAACTCGGTTTCCGCTAACAGTGATGGAGTTTCTTCCAGCCTGCCCGTTCCCACTAGCCTTTCTCTTGCAAATGAAGGAGTGGGATTCGACTACCTCACCCCCTCGGCCTTCCAGGCTCAAGCGTCTAGTAAGCACATTCCCATTGATTGATTTCTACCAATTCTAATGCTCATTTCTCGGTAGAAACTGGCTCTGGCCTCTCTGCCACAAGCGAAGAGAACTTGAACGGATCGACGCACATCTCGAACAGTCCACTCCCTTCGACATCCTTGACGAGTCATACACATTCTGGCCTTCTCAACCCCTCCTTCCGGGGAGCTTCTGTTTCAACGCTCAATTCCCCATTGTTGATGAATAGTTTGAGCGACTATAACATGCTGCTTCAGTTTAGCCAATCCTTGGACGATCATGGATCGAACACTAACTACGGTGGTCTTGACCAGTCTAACTGCGAATCTCTCACCTTGCTTGATCAAGCGTACCGAACTTCCGAGTCAGGCATACACACTTCGGTTGGAATTTCACCTCAGGCTCTGGTTGGTTTATCGGAGATTCAACCTTTGTTGACTCGAGAATCCGCTCCCCCTGTCACTATCAATCCTGCTCAACTTCATCCGACGCCCCTGCGCTATTCACCAACTCAATCTGGGAATCCACAGACCATTAATCGAGGTGGCGTTCGGAGTTTGATCTATCCAGCCTCTGTGTATGGCCTTGATAGTAGTAGCATTGTGAGTAGCGACTCGAGTGACAGTAGCCGTACTAGTAGTCTGTCATCTTCTACCATCACGGGTTATCAGGCGCCCATGGCACAACAGCATTTGCACGCGTCGGCAAGAAGCTCCGAAATCCCTTGCAAGTCATCCTCGACATCTTCCACCATTCCAACAACAGGAAACGAAGCATTTTCCACGTCTACTACCCGATCGATCGACAGCTCACCTGCCACTTCGATCGCTGTTTCATCTCCAGTCAGTTGGAACGAACATGATGTACCCGAAAGACAGAAGTTTAGTGGTGGTCGTTCAAGTCACACCAGCTCCATTGGTCAAGCTCGCCAACGTTCCCAACAAATACCATACGGTCTGACCTTGAATGGTACAGGTACCACGGGCAACGTGCAACTCAAAGCTGCCGATGAGCTTGAAAGCGAAAATTTGAAGCTTGTGACTGAAAACGGGACCGGCGTAGAAACTAGCTCCGTATCCTACTCATTGAAGCAAGACCCGGGCACAGATGAGCAGAGATCACTTGTGGGTCCCACAGAAGCTTCAAAGCCTCTGAAAAATAGTCTAGGGAACGAGCGCCAGTCCAGCACTGCTGCTTCGCAGTGCCTCAACTGCGAAACCACGGTTAGTCAAAAGTTTTCTTCTTATTTTCATATTTCTGGGTAATTAGTTCGTTTCTGAATCTGTTTCACTGCAATTTCATGGGATAGATAACACCACTGTGGCGAAGAAATGGTGAAGGGAAACCGTTGTGTAATGCCTGTGGATTATTTCTGAATTTACACGGAATTCCTAGACCCGCGGCTCTTAAATCTAGTGAGCTTTTCCTTCGCCTTCATCAGAAAAAGCGTTCGCTTATCAGACTTTCTCTACGAACCAGCTTTCATCAAGCGTAGGAACCGCGGAAGGAATGGCGAGAAACCCGGTGGCAACAAGAAGCCTGCGAAGCCTAAAGTTCCTCTGAATGAGCCAATTCATTCAAAGCCTTTTTAATTGAATCACATGAAGTGTAGAACGCTTTTATGTACTGAAGCATTCATTTTTTCGGATTGAAGGTAGCTAAGAGACCTGGATTAGACTTCGAGAGAGTGATTGATTAGAAATTGATTGAAAAAAACAAAAGGAAGATTAGGAAGATACTTAAATACATCTTTTATCTCTTTTTGATCTTTAAAACTAAAACACTAACCCCCAAAAAATCACTTTAGAGGCACTCATCGTTGTCTCAAACGCTTTTCCTTTCATATCATTTGCCTGACTTGCGTCCTATTTTATGTGTGTGAAGTATAATGTACTATATAGCAGCTTATAGAGCATCTTGCTAACATAAGCTGTAGCCATCCTATCATAAATAGATACACGAGATCTTATAAATCTATTTATCTATATACATATACCCCAATTTTTCACATTTTTGTTTTGAATTTATATATATCTTATAGTTTGGGTTTTATCCATAGTAAATATACATTTCAATGGCTTCATCTTCCATTTGTTGATTGATTTGTTTTGACTTTTTATGAAATTAAGTGATTGGTGTTGGTAGAAGGAATGAGTTGGTATTTCAGAGAGAAGAAAGCTTGAGAACTTCTTAGAATGTCAAGTTTTACAAACTAGAGAGAGAGAGAGACCAGCACAATGGAAGTTGATTTAAAGGACATGGTCTAGATTGTGGACAAAATTTGAAGATAATTTTTGAGAAATCAAAAGATTATAAAAGATTACAAGCTTAGATCTTGTGGATTATTGAAATCCTTCTCTTAAGGATATATACATATTACACCAATACTCAGTCTGAAGTTGAATGGTATGGGCCATGGCATATACAATAATTACAGTAATCAAAGGAAGTATGCATGTGTACATACTTTTTGCTAAACACTGTTTTTTGGCAGGAAAAACAAGGCCAAAAGTAAATTTGTTTTTTTTGTCCCGTCAAAAAAAGTATATATGAAAACTGTATTAAATATGTAGCTTTGAGTATGTACCGTCAATGGAATAGTTTGATGGTTGATCTTCAAAAACAAAACCCATGGAAGAGGAGTGAGTGGTACAGAAATTGATAAACTTTTTGGGTCATTGGATTTTGATAGTTTTTGGATTGATGCTGCTCTTGATCAATCATGATTGGCTCTGGAATATGTTATATTACCAGTAAGTTTAACCTTTAGAGAAGCATTCATGAGACAAGTCAAGTCCCAAAATGTAGGAATCAATATTGATGAAAGTTTCCAAGTTAATATACATTACTAACCCTTGTGAAAAGGACTGAATTTCTACCTCTTTATGCTGGGTGATCAAAAAGCTACAGGCTTTTGTTGTAAGAAATTCAATTTATGCAACCATCACACCTACAACAAACTTGGTATGAAGCCACTTACACATGCTTTTGAAAATTGTATTGTTCTGGTTCATTAAAGGGCGTGGAAATTGTGATAGATGGTGCCTTCCAGCTAATGTGGTACATTTCATCATTACAAAGGTCATGAAATATGGCCCAGTTTAAGGGAACAAACCAACACACCAATCAGAAGTCTTGACTAGTTGTGATCATTGACATCTAATGCAGGATATGCAGTAGTCAGGAAATTGGGTCACTGACAAGCTTACTACCAATTCAACTATACTATCAGTGATCTCAATGTGTGGTTGCATCAAAGTGTTTTTTAAGGATAAATCAACAGACTTGTTGAATGAGCTCACATTTTCCCTAAAGGACATGAGATCTTGATTTCCTCATGTCCTCTGATATACAAGATGCTCATGATCTTGTTTGAACCATTTACATCAGATAATTTATTTGTATCATCAAAAAATCATGTTTTTTCATTTTTTACTAATACCCTAAAAACCATTTTCCAACCTTTTGCACCCATATTTTCAACTTTTTCTTCAATTCTTCATCTTTCAATGTTCTGCTTTGTTTCCTTTGATAACAGATTTTATTCTATTGAATATGAACCAAATTTCTTCCAACATCAATCCCAACCTTAATACCACTTCATCAATTGAATCTCTAATCTTACTATCTTTATGATTTTTTGACTTTTTCTTCATTTCTTTCTACAATTATTGTGTAATTCATTTGTGAATGCTTAAAATAATACAAATGATGTCCAAGCAACTATATGACATATACTAACCATTAACACAAGCAATAAAATATGACTTTGACTAAAACCCATCTTTTCGCCACAATTTTTAAATTTTTTGTTTATGTAAGAGATTTTGAACACCACACTGTAACCATGATTGAGGCAGACTGAGAGAGGAGTGGTATTGTAAATGTAGACACAGTCTGTTGAGAAGCTGCAGCCCTAGAGGCAATGAAGGGAAGGGAAGGGAAGGAACACCTGTTTTTGAGCCAAAATTCATGTCATCCTGGTGTTTAGCCCCAGATTTGTGCGACAGCACTATGATCCTAGCCCCTCTAGACATTTTTGAAAAAATAAACAAGAACCTGTGAGCTTACCTTGACACTGGTCCTGGTTCATTCCCTTCCAAATCTTTCATCTTGCCTAGCCCCCTGTGTTCAACCCAAAGCAGAGAGCACCAAACATTGTTGACACTGCTAGTTGGTGTAGTAGACAAGCATTTGAGGTGGCCAGTTGCAGCCACATTCAAAATGAACCTCCCCGTATGGAAACAAGAGATAAAGAGAGCAGGCCTCCTGTTGGGTCACCAGGAAACACATCCGGTGTAGGAGTTGGTTCCCACCAAGGAACTCCACATGCAGTGGTTCCTGCTGTACCCTTCTTCTGCCCTCCTAACTGTTCATCTGCTAAGATGATACAAGAGAAGATTGTGAAAAATTTTGAGGCAGATGTGGCCAGCCAAATGGCAGGACCACTCTTGAGAGAGTAGGTATATGCAAGGCTGGGTTTCTTCAGGACCAGCCCAATTGGCACTGTTGTAAACGGCAATGGCTCCCCAAGGACCATCAACAACTTGTTGTTGCACAGTACCAAGGCTGGACTACAATATGTAAATGCTGAGGTGAAAAATGATGATTTTGCAACTAGCTGGGACAAATTCCAGGGAATCCACCCTACAGCTATACATAAAAAGTGTAGAATGGATGGATAGAACCACCATATCACAGGTGGTTCACCAATCCATGAAGGACATGTGCACAATCTGCAACAGGGGGGTGTGAAAGGTGTGCAACCAGAATACACATTCTAGTTGAAAGATGCAAAGCTTCCACAAAATTTGATTAGACAACCTTGCACACACACAACTCCTATGAATAAAATTTTTATAATAATCCCTTTTTGGAGTATAACTAGGATTTTTGTTTCAGAAATGATTTGACTTGTCAATCTGATCAGCCAATTTTGTATTTCCAAAACCTCCAGATTTGGGTCTGGGTACCTTAGAGCATCCACAGCTGTGTGGTGTAAAATATGTTGTACGGAAATTTAGGGCAAAATCATCCACAGCCAATGCCCTAAATTTTCACATAGCTAAGGGAATTTCCTCTGTGCAAGCCAAAACAGGCCAAATATGTTCTATTTTGGCTTGCTTCCTAAATTCATCTGTACCTCGCTTCTTCCATAACTCCCACTTCCACGACCGCACTCCCTGCAATATCTCCCTTGATGATCAACTAACCCATACAGTCAAACCTGTGCAAATGCATACCTGCGCAGATGCATAACCTGTGACAATGCATAGAAAAATTCCTAGATCTTGATACTTTTTACCGCCAAACTAGACAATGGAATTGCATAACCCGTGAAAATGCATAGGAAAAGTCTTCCACCCAAATTATGCAATTGCACAGGTTTGACTGTAACTCACTTCACAAAATATGCCACAAGCCGTACTGTACAACACCACGGCTGTGCATTGTTTGAAATTTATGCCTCAAACACTTGCCTAAATGATCCGTGCGACACTCTGTACAATACAAATTTACGGCACGGCTGGGGATGCTCTTAAGAGGCTTACTTTGGGTACTCAAGCTCTTATGTTAAGTACCTTAAGTAATTATACCAAGTACCTTAAGCTCCAAAGTTAAGTATTACTTTTGCTAAAAAGCTTGGCCCGATCGAGAAAAAATAAAAACAAATTTCACCGCAGCAGTTACAACGCAGCAGAGAGAAAAAAGTTTTAGGGTGCGCTCAAGCTCCCATCTGTTCCATCCTTTTGATTACCCCACTGCCACCAACAATTTTTCATATCCCTCAAATCCCTGTTGATGACTTCGTTTTGCTCACTAATGTAAGGAACAAGATACACTCTACTGCTTCAATTCCTCCCATTTCTCTTTTCAGTTCATTTCATTCAACTCACTGATGATCTCTAATATTGTCTCTAGGTATCCTTCTTCAATACCTACCACCACACTGTCCCGAGTTGAACGCTATTGAGTTTGCAGTATGTGTTGAAGTTTGATGTTTGAAGATCACAAGTTTCATCATCTAGGTCAAATCCAGTTGAACGGATCCGGAAGGCAGCTCATAAGATCTTTACAGCTGAATTAACAAGCTAGATTTTCTATAATAGATGAATTGTTTTCAGAGATGCTTGTCATTGTATAGGAATTGGAATCAAGAAATTATAGATAAGATTGATGTGAAAATTGAGATCGTTTCAATCTTCTTCATAGGATCACAAGCAAATCGATTGACTTGGATTTTCTCAACAAAATCAGTCTCTAGATTACATCAGAGAGCTGAGATTGTTCACAATCTCTTCCACAGGAACAAAGAAGGTCAATTGGTTTTGACTGAGCAAAACCAGTCGATCTTTGGATTTTGAATGTCTTTGAGAGAACTGAGATGATTTTTCAGCTCGTTCATAGGACCATAGACAAATTGAATGGATTTGGATGACTTATTCAAACCCCATGATTTCTTAGTTTTATTGACCTCATAAGAGATATGAGATTGTTCTCAACTCGCAATCATATGATTGTCTCATAGCAGATTCAAAGGGATCGGTCTTGATATCGTTCATAATCCATCGATGATCCTGTCAACCTCAGTTACCTTGAAAATTCACTTGCATTTCGGATATAGCTTTCATAAGGTATTCAATCTCAGACTTTTGTTATTCGGCTTGGTACTGGACAGGTTGAAGATATGTAAGGTACTAAAGCTTCAACATCATGTCTTTGTTTAATTTTTTAACAAATGCTCGTTATCAACATAGGAGGAACACTGTAGAGTTTCACACAACAGATGACTTCTTTCCTTGTCGAGCAGCGTTTTGTTTCTTGGTCATCGAGGGCCTACATCTCTTAGCATTGTTATAAGATGTAGTATTGTAGCCTTGGAAAGTCCTTTCTGAGTTGAGAAATCTTGAGGAATCCATTGCTTGGTTTGTCTGGATCGTGTGCAGTGGGTGGTGAAGATGACAGAGGGAGAGGGAGTGCAGGTAAAGCAATCGGTTTGTGAGCAGCACAAGGGGTAGTGCCAGTGGGATCTGGCGAGGCGTGGTTGTCTGAGCACCCTAAAACTTTTTTCTCTCTGCTGCGTTGTGACTGCTGCGGTGGAATTCTGGGTCTAATTCTGTTTTATTTTTTCTCTTTTGGACCAAGCTTTTTAGCAAAAGTAATATAAGTGCTGGACTTGAGAAAAAAATATAGAACTGTGGTTCAGACTACACCAGGGGGTAAATGCCGTCGGCCTCGTACGGTGCTGGAGAGGTTCCCAGATGAGACATTGCGGAGACCGCAGACATGATGGTCTCAGTCACGCAACGTACGTTAATTGTGGGAAAATCGGTCTCTTTTGCCTTTTTTTCTGGCTTCAAAAAGACCCAAAAATGGGGTCAAAGATGGTATGAAGTGTGAGGAAGACCTAGGTGAGATCATATGCTCAGCCAAGTGCAAGCATCCCATCAGGATGCGAGCAGTTCATCCTCCTCAATCTTTGCCTGACTGAGCTCCGATTGATAGGTCCAATACAGCCTGGTTTCCCGTGACTGATACGTTCAGGGAACGAGTTTTTTCTGGTCCCATCTGGGAACCTCTCTGGGGCCGTTTGTTTTGAATGGAAAACGAGACCGTTTCAAAAACGACTCTCTCCCAGTTTGTGCCACATCACACTTACCCCGTGGTGTAGACAGGAGCAACTGCAATCTCTCAGCCAGTCCTCCAGCATCTCACACCACATGTATGTTGTGTGAAGGTTTTTTGATTCATGTAACCCACCCTGCAAAAACAGGTCCCACCCACGAACCCAATGGAGGAATCCGGCTGGGGTGCCTTGGTTTACAAAAACCAAGCCCTTGGGGAGGGGCCCTGCAGTTCCCCAACCTACACACCCTTGACATAACATAAGGGGTATACTCTTGGGGGGACATTTTGTACTTTCAGGTATGGGAGACCTAGCTACCCAAGTAGCAGGCATTCCAGAGTCTAGCAGAGACTTGCCCCCAGAATCTACCCTACAGCTATGGTTGCTCAAGTCAAGACAGTGGCAGCTCTGAATGAGTAGCTCCACACCTTTGACCCTATGAGTTTGTAAAAGCCAGTGAAAATAGAATAAAGTGTCTTTGATTGGGCTGAGAAATCATTTTCAGAATGAGAGTGTAAAGAAGTCTTTTGGAATTGCAGTCAGTTTCTCAAAAAATCTAGATTCTTGGCTGGCCGTAGATTTTGGGCCAAAACCTATGGTTACCACAGTCTTGACGCATCCCACTATATCAGTTGCGAGTGTAGAATGGACATGGAGTTTCAGCTAGACTTACACATTCTTTCTATAAGGCATGCTGGTATTGGCCAGATAACGCAGTATTGACATT